TATGGGTTTTCTGCCTTTAGTTTTGCCTTCAGCAAGTGAAATGCATGCTCAAATGGGAGTTGAGATCAGGTGATTGGCTTGGCCATTGCAGAATATTCCACTTCTTTTCCTTCAAAAGCTCCTGGGTTGCTTTTGCAGTGTGTTTTGGATCATTGTCCATCTGTACTGTGAAGCGCCGTCCAATCAATCTTACTGCATTTGGCGGAATCTGGGCTGACAGTATATCTGTAAACACTGCAGAATTCATCCGGCTGCTTCTGTCTCCTGTCACATCAACAAACACCAATGACCCAGTGTCACTGGAAACCATGCATGCCTATGCCATCACACTGCCTCAACCATGTTTTACAGATGACGTTGTGTGCTTGAGATCATGAGCTGTTCCAAGCCTTCTCCACACTTATTCCCGTGATTCTGGTACAGATTGATCTTAGTTTCATCCATCCAAAGAATGCTTTTCCAGAACTGGTCTGGCTTTTTTAAATGTTTTTTGGCAAAGTCTAATCTGGCTTTTGTATTCTTTAGGCTTATGAATGGTTTGCACCTTGTGGTGAACCCTCTCTATTTGCTCTCATGAAGTCTTCTCTTGATTTTAGACTTTGACAATGATACACCCACCTCCTGGACAGTGTCCTTCACTTGTCTTGATGTTGTGAATGAGTTTTTCTTTACCATAGAGAGGATCCTGCGATCATCCACCACTGTTGTCTTCCGTGGACGTCCGTGCCTTTTTATGTTGCTGAGTTCACCAGTGCATTCTTATTTCCTCAGAATGCACCAAACTGTTGATTTGGCCACTCCTAATGTTGCTGCTATCTCTCTGATGGATTTGTTTCATTTTTGAAGCCTTACAATGGCCTGTTTCATTTGCATGGACAGTTCCTTTGAACGCATGACGTAGGGTCACAGCAATAGATTCCAAATGCAAATACCACACTTAGAATCAACTTCAGACCTTTTACCTGCTTAATTGATGAAGAAATAATGGAGTAGCCCACACCTGGCCATGAAATAGCTTTTGATTCAATTGTCCAATTACTTTTGGTCCCTTGAAAAAGGGGGGATAGCTACTCTTAAGAGCTGTAATTCCTAAACCCTTCCTCCAATTTGGATGTACATGCCCTCAAATTAAACCTGAGTGTATGCACTTTCAGCCCATAGCCATTATATAACTATAGCCCTAATATGTTTTGGTAAATACCTGAAAAAACTAAAATTGTGCCTGTGTCCAAATATATATGGACCTAACTGTATATGTCGCAGATTCCTGCACAGAAAAAAATCTGGACATGATACTAGTGTGGTGGTATGAACAGGGCACATAGAGAACAATTTATTTTGTTGTGCCCTTGCAGAATGCGTGCAGAAAAACAGACGTCTCTGCACCATGGTGTGAACAAGCCCTAAATTGGATGTCCATTGAAGTGACTGGCCTCAAGTGACACATAAATAAAACAAATCCTCCTACATAAGTTGTACTTATTTATCTACAACTATATGTCCCCTACATCCATTCAAAGTGCAAATTTACACAGGATTTCTGAGTTATGAAAAGCAGGGGACGGGGAGCTGAAGTTTTTATCAGTGAGGAGAGCTCTGAGACCCGATTGAAGGGAAGGGACACATCCCCTTCATATAGCACACTGGAACAGAGTTGAGGCTGTCAATCACAGGCTGTGCCTTTCCGTCATCATTTTTCTCTAGGTTTCAAGAAAACTCATCAGAAATGCTATGCAGATAGCAGAAGAATGAGGCAGCAGACAGAAATGACATTTCGTTCTCTGGATTGAAACAAATACATACTACAGAGGGATAAACTTGGTTCATATTTCATTTCTGAGGTTTACAACCACTGTAAAGTAGTTCTAAAGGCTCAATGTTTTTTACCTTCATGCATTCAGGTAAAAAAAAAAAAAAAAAAAAAAAAAAAACTTCTGTGTGCAGCATCCCCCCCTAATACTCACCTAAGCACCCTCTCGTTGCAGTGATGTGCACTGGAGTCTCTGCTATCCCGGGAATCCCTCTTCTCATTGGCTCAGACAGAAGTGGGAGCCATTGGCTCCCACTGCTATCAATCACAGCCAGTGAGCCAATGAGACGGGGGGCGAGCAGCGGCTTCATGTGTTAATACACACACAGAGCAGTGGGTGCCCTTATAGCAAACTGCTTACTGTGGCAGCACCTGACAGAAGGGATGGGCTATGGGAGCCTGCGGGTGACCCAGGAAGAGGAGGATCCAGGATGCTCTGTGCAAAACCACTTTACACAGCAAGTATAGACATAGTTATTTTTTTTTCTTTAAAAAAAATTAAACCTTTAGAATCACTTTAACTGCTTCCCGACTGCCCTAAAGTAGAACTACTGCTACAGGAAGGCAGGGCGGTGCAAAATGACAATATGTGATTTTGTATTTCCGCGCCATTGGCGTCTTCAGCTGTCGATCACGGGGTCCTGGCCAGTGATTCCCTGCCGGCACACAGCGATCGCCGTGTATAACAGATGGGGGAGAGACCTGTATGTAAACAATACAGATCTCTCCCATCAGCTCCAGCACGCTGCTTTGTATTGCTCTGCAAAGCAGGGCAATACAAAGCAGTGTGCCTACACAGTAAAGCACAGCACACAGTAAAACACACAGCACACAGTTAACCCTTTGATCGCCCCAGATGTTAACCCCTTCCTGCCCAATGTCAGAGCAGTGTCAGTGATTTTTATTAGCACTAATCATTGTATTAGTGTCACTGGGGATGTCAGTCCCCCCCACCCCCCCTTCCCAGTGTCAGAATGCCCGTCACCGTCCCGCCATAAGTCACTCATTGCCGCCAATACCTGTATAAAAAAAAAAAATAAAAACCGAAGTATATATACCGCCATTTGTAAATGCTATAACTTTCATGTAAACCAAATATTTACACGTATTGTAGTAGTGTAGCAGATCACATATTGGCCTAAATTTGACGAAATTTGATTTTTTAATTGTTTCTACTGGGCATGTTTTATGGCAAAAAGTCAAAAATACAGTTTTTTTTTCCCCAAAATTGTCAGTCTTTGTTTATAGTGCAAAATATAAAACACAGACGATCAAATACCACCGAAAGAAAGCTCAATTTGTGGGGGAAAAAAATGGGCATAAATTTAATTTGGGTGCAGCATTGCATGACCGTTCAATTGTCAGTAAAAGTAACGCATCGCCGTATCACAAAAAAAAGCCCTGGTCAGGAAGAGGGGGGGGGGGGGGGTGTAAATCCTCTGGAGAGCAAGTGCGTAAGTTCCTGAAGTCTCTCTGATATGTTTCATCCCTCAGACCTTCCACCATTTTTATTGCCCATCTCTGGACTGGTTCAGTCCTATCGCCATCTTCAAAAGTAGCTGAACCATGTTATATCTAGAGAAATTATTTTGTTTTCCTGGACGAGGCTGACACAGACCTCCTAGCTACAATACAGCAGTCCCTAAAAATTAATAATGGTCCTGTATGAGGACTCAGCCTGAGCCTGAGACAGTGATGGCCAGAGGAGAGATGTGTTCCGTCCTCTCTGTCCCTTCAGAGTAAATGAGGACACGTGACAGAGCCAGGAATGACAGATAGCGGCGCCCCCCTTCAGTCACAGACAGGTAAGCAGCTCCACACCGTCCCCCTGAAGGCTGACCTATTCCTGTTCCTATAGGAACAGGTTCCTAACATTGGTCACCATACAGAGCACACAGGTAATGAAGGTCTGCAAAGTGCCCACCACACACACAAGGGCACAGGGCACCACTCTTGTCCCTCCCTGGGACTTCCAGGGTGGGGTTGTTGTGCCCGAGTCCCCAAGCCCGCCATGTACTGCTGTGCCCGAGCCCCATAACACCATTTTCACATGTCACAGTTCCCCGGCTCTCACCCATGCTGCCCCCCGGTAAGTCAGGGCCTCTCCCGGCTCCTTCGGGACAATATGTCTGACTAACGGAAGCCTCTAGACGACAATCTAATGAAGGCGCGGATCAAACAGGCTTACGTAGACGTCAACGGACTCTACGTGCGTGCGTGCGTACCACAGGAATACTACGTGCGTTCCACCTGCTTAAAGGGGAAGATCCACACTACAGCACTGGTCATCCAACCGATGTTCTGATAGAGCAGAGACCCTAGATGTGACAATGGGCTCTTGGTAATCCCAGCACAGCGTCGTTCAACATCTTTATGGCTGTGGTATAGTGTACAAGCTGTGTGTTTAGCCAATCTACTTACAGCTCCAGGCTGTAAAGTTTATTGTGTGAAAACTGTGTAAGTGTCAATAAAGTGACAGTTTTTTTTGTACAAAGTAATAAACGGTTATATAGAAGTAAATCAATGGTGTACTTGTATAAAGCAATCACGTATCTGGGGACATGTACCCGGTGTTAGCAGCTACTCTCAATCGGGCGGACTGACAACTCATGGGGCCCGGGCAATAGGGGATCATGGGGCCCCTGTGTCCTTGCCCAAACTCAAAAAAGCCTATGAAAAAGGTACCAGGGGCATCTCATGGGGCCCCCGGGCATTGCCCAAGTTTCCAAATGGGGCACCTGCTCTCAAGTATAAAGTTATGTATCATAAATTTCTACACCTCACCTCTTCCGTCTCCTCTCACATTACTAACCTACTAAGCGACATATCGGCATGGATGTCACTCCACTTCCTCAAACTCAATCCTTCCAAAACTGAGCTCCTAATATGCCCTCCAGCCCATTTCCCCTCCCCTGACTTCTCCATCAAGACCATCAACCATCAGTCCCTCCCCTCATGCCAGGGTACTAGGTGTAATCCTAGACTCCCATCTGTCCTTTCACCCCCAAATCCAATCGCTGTCCAAATCTTGTAGACTTCACCTCCGCAACATATCCAAGATACGCCTGTTCTTAAAGCGGAGCTCCACCCAAAAGGGGAAGTTCCGCTTTAAGGACTGCTCCCCTGCTCCCCATTAAGGATTGGCACCTTTGGGTGGTGGGGAGCGGGAGCGGGTATCCAAATTTGACAGGTACCGGCTCCCAATTGCTGTCAGACTGCCTAGGCGATTGGAAACGGAAGGTGTCCTCCCTCCTTCCCTCCCCGTAGTCTTCTGGGACACGTGACAAGTCCCAGAAGACTACAGGACCATTCATGAAGCGCAGCGCTACTCCTGCATGCGCAGTGAGTACCCGGCTGTGAAGCCGCAAGCAGTCACAGCCGGGTGCCCACACTGAAGATGCCAGGGCCTGGAACACAGGACGGCCGGTGAAACGGGCTGTGGGGGACACACCACACTACCGAGGGACAGGTAAGTGGCGGTTTTTTAAAAGTCAGCAGCTACAGTTTTTGTAGATGCTGACTTTTATTTTTTGACAGGATGAGTGGAACTCCGCTTTAACCTCTGACACCACTAAGCAACTTATTCACTCCCTTGTTATCTGTTGCCTTGACTATTGTAACTCCCTCCTCATTGGCCTACCTAATCCCAGGCTATCCTCTCTTCAGTCCTATCATGAATGCTGCTGCCAGACTCATCTACCTTACTAACCCTTCCATATCTGCCATTCCTCTCTGCCAATCCCTCCACTGGCTTCCCATTGCCCAATGAAGTGCAAAATATTAACAATAACATATAAAGCCATTTATAACTTTGCCCCAAATTACATCACCAGTCTTGTCTCCAAATATCACCCAAACCGTACTCTCCGCTCCTCACACGACCTCCTACTCTCTAGCTCTCTTGTCTCCTCCTCCCATGCTTGTCTCCAGTACTTCTCCAGAGCTTCCGCCATCCTCTGGAACTCTCTACCCCAAATTATCAGACTATAGCCTACTCTGCTCACATTTAGGCGATCACTGAAAATCTCTCTCTTCAGGGAAGTCTATCCTGCCCTCAGCTAATAATGGAATCTTCTACTCTTCCTACCAGTCCATCCCCCACAGTTACTACCTTTTATACCACTAGCCCCTCCCTCTTAGATTGTAAGCTCCAAGGAGCAGGGCCTCCTAACCCTCTTGTATTGAACTGTATTGTTGCTGCATTGTCTCCAGTTATATTGTAAAGTGCTGAGTAAACTGGAGCTATATAAAGCCTGTATTATAATAATTATCACGTATCAAATTGGTAGTGCATAGGACGGTACAACATTTTTCATGTCAATAAAGGGTTATAACTCTTGCAAGATTTTTTGCCAGCTGTGTCCCATTTGGGATATTTCCCTTCACTTCCTGTTCTGGAGTCATGCCAAAAATGTGGGATTATGTTTTACTTTCATTTTCAATGATAATAGCAAACAGGACAAACAGAAAGGGTGAATATCCTGAACAGGAGCATAGACAGCAAAAAAACCTGACAAATGTTCTAATCCCTTCCCACTCTATCCAAAACTGAGGAAAAAAAAAAAAAACCTTTGCCCTTAGTGACATGTTGTTCTATCTGGAGGAAAAAGGGAAAGGGGAGACATGATTAAAACCTTTAGGGCTATTTCACACGGACATTCCGACAAAGTCCGCCTGTTTTTCAGGCAGACCCAATCGGAATCTCCATTCTCCTCTAAGGAGTGGTTGGTGTAAACGGACGTGTCCTTTTAAACTGACTGACATCCGATCCGATCTGCCAAAAAGGGACAGATGGGGATACAATTTGTCGAAGCAGACAGGCAGTCCATTTTCATCCAACCGCCCATTGAGGAGAGTGAGCAGCTCTGTTTCTGCTCTGCAGCAGCGGAGCAGACACAGAGCTGTCATCTGCTTACTCAGCGGGGATCAGCGGAGATATCCCCCGCTGAGTAAGCAGATCCACTAAACAGGTCCGGCCTGTGTGAAAGGACCCTTAAATACATCAAGAGGTGTCCCGTTATATTGTAAAGCGCTGAGCAAACTGTTGGCACAATATAAATCATGTATAATAATAATAAAGAGGATGAATAAGGCTCATGAGGGCAGTATCTTAAATATGAAGCTGAGATCAAGAACAGGTGGATATCTCTTAAAAAAAAAAAAAAAAAAAAAAAAAAAGAATTATATGACAGGCATCTTAATCCCTCTCCAATCTACCAAAAACTGAAAGGTTTTGCCTTTAGTTACACCTAACCTAAAATGGGTAAGTTCACCTTTTGACCAAAAATAATAAATGCACATTTTTTGCAGGTAAAAAAAAAATGTGCATTTATTATTTTTGGTTGCAGGAGCCTGTAGAGCTTTGCACCAGCAAAATGTATTCTTTACACAAAGTTGTCAGTTTAATATATTTCACACACACCATGAGTGCATGTGCAGCTCTGTATACATTCTACAGAAGATTGTGAACAGGCAGGTAAGTGTATTTTATTGCAGGTGAGGCATGGCATGTCTATTCTACAAAAAGGAGTCTGACTTCCAAGTTTTTTTTTTTACCCTACTTTTGTTCCACTTTAATGCCTGAACCTAGTTTTGCAACTACTTAGTGTATCCAGGTCAATTTTACCTTGTTTATTTCAGGACAAATGGAACACCATTTAGTGTTTTTGTTTTCTTTTGTTAGCAAAAGAAAACGTTTGCTAACAAAAGAAAACTGACCTAAAATAGTAAAAACAATATTTGTTGAAATGTAACTGTATATTTCTTGGCATTACCCTAAGGCTACTTTCACACTGATCTGCCGCAAAAATGCATAGGCATTTTTACCATGCTTTTGCCCTGCTTTCTGAGCATTTTGTAAAGACACATGACTTAAAAACTGCACCAAAAACACTTCTCAGAGGTGTTTTTTGGTATCTTTTTAGGCATTATTCATTGATTTCAATTGGAAGAAGGCATTTTTTTTGGGTGTTTTTTTTTTTTTTTTTTTTTTTTTTTTTTTAACTCACCAAACATGCCTCAAAAGGTGCTGCACGCAATGCCTCAGTATGAAAACATACATGGCTATACATTCACATACATAGGGAAGCATTATTCTTGAGCTTTTCAGGCGCTTTCTTTAACGCAAAACGCTTCAAAAACTCCGCAGTGTGAAAGTAGCCTAACTCTGCACCAAAGAACAACCCAAAATAAATTCTTCTACTGCTGACAAACAGCAATAACACACTGATTTTTTTTTGATTTTTTTTTTATATCCTGCCTAGAAAACACTGGCACTAAAAAAAAGATTGTTTAACCACTTCAATACCGGGCACTTTTACCACCTTCCTGCTCAGGCCAATTTTCAGCTTTCAGTGTTGTCACACTTTGACAATTGTGCAGTCATGCAACACTGTACCCATAAAAAAAAAAAATATATATATTTTTTCCACACAAATATAGCTTCTTTTTGGTGGTATTTAATCACCAAGTTTTTTTATTTTTTGCTAAACAAAAACAACCTGAGACTTAAAAATCAGTTTTTTTTTTTTCTTAGTTACTGTTATACAATTTTGCAAATAAATAAAATTTCTTCATAAATTTAGGTCAAAATGTATTCTGCTACATTTCTTTGGTGAAAATCAAACCATGGTATATATATCTGACAAATCGATCAATCCTGATGTACCGATGGCCCATCTAATTTCTTGAGGCCCGACAATGCCAGGATAGTACAAATACCCCCAAATTACCCATATTTGGAAAATAGACAGTCCAAGGTATCTAGTAAGATGCATGGTGAGTTTTTTGGAGGTTGTAATTTGTTACAATTTTTTGGAAAATGTAGGAATGAAAAAAAAAAAAAAATTATATAACTTTTTTTTTTTTTTTTACATTTTGTCACCAGTCCAGTACAGCATTATTATATAACTGGTGTGGCAGTGATCAGGGACATGAGTGATGACCGTATGTAAGAAAAAAATATATAATGTAATTTTTTTTAAATGTGTCCTTTTTTTTTCAGCACACTGACCAAAGCAATACAATGTTACCATAGTAACATTGAACTACTCTGGGCAAGTGATCAGGATTTTTTTTTTCCCACACACGATTGCTAATATCAATGTATTTCATTGATATTTGCAATCATTGTTACTGAATGAAACTGATTCAGTCTTTTGTTGTGATTAGCTGTGATTGGGAAACACTCACCACATGATACAGATGGGCTGTGATTAGCCGTCTGTACCATGTGACTGCTTTGACAAATCACAGCTAACATCACAATTGTATACAATGGATGGCATGACAGGAAGCCATCCATTGAATACAATTGACATGATCTGCTGTGATTGGTCACAGAGGTCACATGACACTGGCAACAGGCGGTGTAGTGATATGTCATCAGCTGAATCCCATGGACACAGTCACAGATCACGCTGCTGTGTGGCCTCATGAGCGGCTCCTTTTGACAGGACATCATATGATGCCTAGTCACGAGGAAGTGTGTCCCGTGCAGCCATCAATAGGCTATAGGCCAGGTAGGAAATTGTTAAAGTAGAACTTTAATCAGAAAATGAAGTCCTGATAGATCATTTCTTGATGGCCCCATTTGCAGGTATAGCTAAGTACAACATTAAAAATAAGTGCCTACACAGTTTAAAATCCAGTAATACACTGGATCATCCTGCTCTGCACATGCTCAGTTGCGCTCTATTCTCAGCCCTGTACCTAGGATGAGTCACTAGAGGCCAATCAGCTGACAACTTTAAAGGATAAGGCCACCTTTTAACAAAAAAATTAGTAAGTGCAGATTTTTGCAGGTAAAAAAAAAAAAAAAAAAAAAAAAAAAAAAGTGCATTTACGAGTTTTGTTTTAGGAGCCTGGAAAGCATTGCATTGTTGATCAGCAGATCACTGGTGCCATGCAGGTCTCCTGCAGACTTTCAGTATGAGCTGTTTGCCCGTACATCGTACGAGCAGGCAGTTTCACACCAACAGGAAGAATCAACAAATTACCACAGCACTCAACAGTGCCATGGTAGTTTATTGATTCATAGGGATCTGTAAATCAATGACACAGCCATTTGGAAGCCCCACACAGCCATGTTCTCTTTGAATTGTGCCAACGAGTACTGAGAGAAGATCCTCAGCTTGCTTGCAGCAGGGGGGGGGGGGGGGAAATCGGGGGCTGATGCTGAACATGTTAAACCCTAAATGTTTGTACCATGTTCAGAATGGTGAACTTGCCCTTTAAGATTTACTGAAGGGAAAAAAGCAACACAAATGACACAGACTATGTGGGGGGAACAGAGATTAAAAGAGGGAGAAAAGAAAAGCAGAAGAGGTGACAGGACAAATTCTCCTGCCAGGAAGACACAGAAGAGTTAGTCCCCTTTCACATGGGGCAGATTCTGTTTTGATCAGCTCACAGATCCTCTGCTCATTGGAGCAGAGCAGGTGGATGACTCATCTGTGCCTACGCAGTTTCTGCAGAGCGGACATGGATAGAGGCCGCTTTTCTCTATGGGCAACTGGGAGTAAAAGGACTCCTGTCCGTTTACACATGACTACCCACCAATATGGAAGAGGAGGATTCCCCTTGTTTTTTTTGTAGCGGACCTGATCAGGCCCAGAAGTAGGCAGTTCCGTTTACACCTGCCTGTCCATAGAGATCAATGGACTTTCCAATCAGGTCTGCCTGAAAAACAGACAAGTGTGAAAGTGACCTTAAAAACTTACAAGGCAGCCTGTGAACATCAGCACTGTAAAGCTTCTTTCAGTCTTCCTGTCTGATTAAGCCAAGGGCATACAATCAAGGCTGGAAATATACATATTTTAATTGAAGAAACTGACGGTTTTCATTAAGAAAGTGACTGCTCTTGGCTTCAACAAAATGGCAGCCTCCAACAAGAAGGAACAATGCTGGATGCAATTTACAGCACACTAATTTTGGTAGCATAATTTTTTAATGCAGCTTTATCAGTGCACAGCTGTTCCAGATTCTGTCTGCTCCAGGCTTAGTAATATTCACTCAATGTATCTTTTTCTCAATTTAAGAGAAAGAAGGGATGGGCTATACAGTTGACTGCTTTAATTAGCTATCATAGTGAGCATCAAGTGATTGAGAGCCAACAGCCCAGCTTAGGATCATTACTATAAAAAAACACTTTCCTTTAAAATGATAGTAAACTGCAGGTAAAAAAAAAAAAAAAATCTCCTGCCAGGAAATGTCATAATGTGCTAGTATGCTTTGCATACTAGCACATTATGAAGGACTTGCCTTAAAACAAAGCCCTCCAGTTTCCATCTTCACAAGCTTGGGCCATCTGATTGGCCAAGGCACGATTACCTCACTCCCACGAGCAGGAGTTCTGGGCCACGGCACAGTACTCTGAAGGAATGGCACAGGCATGCCATTCCTTCAGATCGCATGCGCAAGTTCAAAAAAAAAAAAAAAAAAAAAAGCTAATATCGCCTAAACTATGCACGTTTAGGAGATATTCATTTCACCCACAGGTCAGCTTTATTATAAGCGTACCTGTATGTAAAAGTAAAAAAGTTTACTACCACTTTAAGTAGAGTAAGGGAAGGCTAAAACACTTACACTATATTGCCAAAAGTATTGGGACGCCTGCCTTTACACACACATGACTTTAATGGCATCCCAGTCTTAGTCTGTAGGGTTCAATATTGAGTTGGCCCACCCTTTGCAGCTACAACAGCTTCAACTCTTCTGGGAAGGCTGTCCACAAGGTTTAGGATTGTGTCTATGGGAATAATTGACCATTCTTCCAGAAGCGCATTTGTGAGGTCAGGCACTGACATCAGATGAGAAGGTCTGGCTCGCGGTCTCTGCTCTAATTCATCCCAAAGGTGTTCTATCGGGTTGAGGTGCAGGCAAGTCAAGTTCCTCCACCCCAAACACCCTGATTCATGTCTTTATGGACCTTGCTTTGTGCACTGGTACGCAGCCATGTCGGAACAGTAAGGGGCCATCCCCAAACTGTTTCTACAAAGTTGGGAGCATGAAATTGTCCAAAATGTCTTGGTATGCTGACACCTTAATTGTTCCCTTCACTGGAACTAAGGGGCCAAGCCCAACCTCTGAAAAATAACTCCGCACCATAATCCCCCCTCCACCAAACTTTACACTTGGCGCAATGCAGTCAGGAAAGTACCATTCTCCTGGCAACCACCAAATCCAGATATGTCCATCGGATTTCCAGACAGAGAAGCTTGATCATTCCAGAGAGAGCACGTCTCCACTGCTCTAGATTCCAGTGGCAGCGTGCTTTACACCACTGCATCCAACTTGGTGATGTAAGGCTTGGCTGCAGCTGCTTGGTCATGGAAACCCATTCCATGAAGCTCTCTACACGCCGTTATTGTGCTCTGACCCAGTTATGTCATTTTACGTGGCATACACCACTTCATGGCCGAGTTGCTGTTCCCAGTTGCTTCCACTTTGTTATAATACCACTAACTGTTCATCGGTGAAATGTCCTTGCTACTAAATATTTCACGGTTGACTTACTGCACAAGTGGCAACCTATCACAGTACCAGGCTTGAATTCACTGAGCTCCTGAGGAGCGACCCATTTTTTCACTGTTTGTAGAAGCAGTCTGCATGCCTGGGTGCTTGAGTTTATAAACCTGTGGCCATGGAGGTGATTGGGACACCTGAATCCAATGATTTGGATATAACCTATCCCCACTCTGTGGGATGAGCCAAATTGTTTTAACTAGTGAACAAGCAAAATACCTTCAGGACTGGCAGTCTTGCTTCAATTTGACAACAGTCATAGGTTATCATTGTAATTGAAAGACCTAGATCTTTAAGATCTTTAAGAAACAAAGCCATGCTATTAGGGACAATTGACATGGTGATAACATGATCAGGAATCATGCGGACTGGTTCCTTGTTAGTGGAAAACTAGAGCTCTCTCTCAGTTCGTCAGGTCTAACAATTAGGAGGGTTTTCTGGTGCTGTAAATTGTACCTGGTAATGTGCATAGGCTATAACATTAATATAATAAAGAAACACATAAAACCCTTGAAACTAGCACTATGGCCAACAGTGATTAAAGGGAATCTGTAATGTAAGATTAATGGAGGCTGCATGTGACATGCTCATCAAGGAAGCCTACACAGTGGCAACTCCCATACTTCTCAAATGAGGGTCACTTTAACAAAAAACAGCTGTGTTTTGAGGGTGGTTAACTCTTTATACATTGTGGGCCTGATTATCAGTGTACGTTTTCTGACAAACACATACCTATTAGTTTGTCTTTGTTTTGTGACCCTTTAAATATGTTTCAGAACACAAACCAAACCGTGCAGCAAAAAAAACAAAGGAAACACAGACAGTTTGAGAGTAAAAAAATATTCTCTTGCTTTTAATTACAGAAAGAAACAAAGCAATTTGTAACAAAAATACAGGGCTTTGGTGCAGGGGAGGTCAGTTCAGCTTCTGTTCAGTATTGGCGACCCCTGTATAAGAATATGCTTTCCCTAATACAATTCTGTCACGAAGCAGCTTGAAAAAGGCGTAGTAATTACTGAACAGAATGAGAGCTAGAGAGATGGTATGGTGCCACTTCTCTGAAGAGAAGAGAGAATACAGTTGGTAAAAAATAAGTAATCCTTCGAGGGCTGTCAATATGTTGAGGACCCGCAGTGGATTACTGAAGAAAAACTGAAAAAAAGAGCAAACAAATTAAAACAATTACATTACATCAGCAGTATTTGCAGCGAAATCTCCTGAATCCCAACTACTTAATGAAAAAATATGTAGGTTACCTTTGCTGACTTCTGAAAATGCTAGCTTGTTGGCTGTCTCTTGATTAAATGCTGAGTCCCTGACATGGAACAAGTATGCAGCCAAAAAAGTCTGAACTCCTGATCTACATATTGGCTACCAAAGCCTTAAGACCAGCTTACCCAGTTAGACTATTAGAGTTATCAGAAAATGGCAGAATTAGTATTTAGGTCAGAGTAGGTTTTCTTTAGCATTCTTTCACACGAACAATCCGATCGGGCCCGCCTGCCCGTTTTTTCAGGTGGACCCAATCGGAACCTCCATTCTCCTCTATAGAGTGGTGGGTGTAAATGGACATTTTATCAATTTACACCCGCAGACATGATCTGATCCACTAGGGAAAAGGGATGGATGGGGATCCAATTCCCTTCCATTGGATCGGATGAAAACAGACAGGCAGTTGTCAGAGCTATCATCCTGATCTTGGCTTCACTACCTAGAAAGTCAGTGAACTGACCAAATAGAAAGCACTGGATTGAAGACATTTCAGACTTCATTGGCTACATGCTTGGTGGTCAGTGACTGAATAGACACTGAAACTATGATTTAGATCAGGATTTCTCAATCAGGGTGCTCAGGCACCCTGGAGTGCATTGAGGTTTCTTCAGGGGTGCCTTAGCAAAATGTCTAAAAATTTCCCAAAACTTGTATACAACCCAGCAGGTGGAACAAGCCTGCCTTTTAGTTACACAAAGCCACAGGTTTTCATTGTGCACCATCAAGACCTTCTAGCCGCTGGTGTCCTGACAATCAATGACATCAGTTGATAACGAGGATGTCAGCTGCCTGTTCAGCATCCTAGTTGGACCCTCCCTCACCCCTCGCCATCAGTGCTGGGGTCACATTAGCTGAATGATGGAGAAAAACTGAGGGAGAAACACTGGAATACTACTCAGTACCAGTGAGCAAAAGTGTATTTGCTTTGGAAGAATAAATCACCTGGGTGGGTGTCCTACATGTGTGGATGTTGCTATGTTATATAAAACTATTAGAATAGTTTTTCACATTTCAGAATGCGGTGCCTCAAGACTGTCCATAATTTTAAAGGGTGCCTTAACTGAAAAAAGGTTGAGAAACATTGATTTAGATAACTCAAAGATTACACCTGGAAAATCAATTTAGACATGGCACAAAGGCAGCTCATACATTTCAATGCTTGCAGGTCTACATTAAAAGATTTAGCAAACAGCAAAGAACTAATCAGGCTCCTGTGACATCCTTTTAGGTTTCTGAACATACACAAATGGATCCTGAAAGGTTCCCTTAAAAAAAAAAAAAAAAAAAAACGACCGTCAGGGAGATTCTGGCAAAAAAAAACACCCTAAAAAAAAAAAAAAAAAAAAAAAAAAAAAAAAAAAAAAAAAAAAGGATTGAATACATACCTTTTATGCTGCCTATGCCTTTGTGCGCTGCTTCCATGAAGAGGAATCCACTGAAGTCTGATCTGAGAATGACCCTGCCACAGGGTCAAATCGGATATGTCTCTCTAAACACTCGGTGGTTTTTCCCGCCGACGTTCACACAACATAGTATAGTGTGGTGTAGACATGCAAGTCCAGTGATTTTAAATTTAGTTTCACCACCTGTTGGGTCTATTTTGTTGGGTTTCCAACCAGTATTCCAGCCTTAAAAACTCACTTTTACTGACACCAGTATTTGAATTGCCACTATAAAAAACAAAAAAAAAACAAAAAAAAAAAAACCACTGCTTGAAGACACAGAGCCATTTCAAAAAACTTAAAGAATGCTCCGATGATGGACGAGACTGCTTTTAAATATTGTACACTGTCTTTTTGATAGATTATTATAACCATAAGGCCTCATTCACACCATACGTGCAGAAAAACTGATGGGGGGGAAAAAAAAAAATGCACGGATTTTACACTAGTTTTCAAAAGCGTTTCAATGAGTTTTATGCACATTGCAGATTCCTTCACAGAAAAAAAAAACTGCAAGTGATACTAGTGTTGTGGTGTGAACAGGGCACAAAGGACAAATGTTTTTTTTGTGCCCTTGCAGAAAACAGTCATCTTTGCACATGGTGTGAACGTAGCCCAAAGGAAACCACAAAATGAGAGAAGCAGAAACTGGCACTCTTACTCGACATATGATTTTTAATTATGTTTAACTTGTCCTATGATCCATGCACCCCAGCCAGACAGCATTGAAGCAATGCTGCTATCTGAACTATAAAAAAAGAGTAACATTGACAAGGTCCCTTCCAGTCTTAGAAAGAAAGCACATTGCAATACAGTAGAGAAGCCTTTCTCAACCTTTTTACCCTGAAGGAACCCTTGAAACAAATTTTGAACGCAATCAACCCTGCATTCCACAGTAAACTGCTGAAAGATTTAAATATGCCACACCTAGAATACGTGACATCCACAGCAGATTTTAAAGCACTTTCCTACTCTATATAACAAAACTAATTATGGAATGAAACAAATGTCCAGAAAAGAAATAAAAACCAGAAATATTATTTGCAGTGTCCCCTTACAGTGGAAAACGTCCTCTTACATTGGTGGTCAATAGAAAAATGCTCCCTGACATTGGTACAGGAAAAATGTTCCCTTGGATCGGTGGTCAGTGTAGAAATGTCTCCTTACATTGGTGCGCAGTGTAGAAATGTCCCTTTACATTGGTAGTCAGTGCAAAAAAGGCCCCTATACATTGCAGCCTAGTGGAAAATGCCCCCTTAGACTTGTGCTCAGCAAAGAAATGTCCTCTTTACATTGGTACTCCGCTCAAAAATGTCTTTTTACATTGATGGTCAGTTAAGTAATGTTCCCTTCATTGGTGCTCAGTGGAAAAATCTCTCCCCTTTACACTAGTGTTTAGTGAAGAAATATCCCCTTACATTGGGGGCCATTGGAGAAATGCCCCCATACATTGGTGGTCCGTAAGAAAATGCCCTCTTAAACAGGTAATCAGTGCAAAAGTAACCCCTTACATTGAATATCAATGAGAAATTACCCCTTTACATTGGTGGTCATTGTAAATAAGGTATAAAATCTGTCACTGCTCAATGAACCCTAGTAACAATGAAAAAAACCTGCAGTGGAGCATTAACAGCTCACAACTGTCCCTGTACCTTCATATCCTAGTTTGAGTCCTGTTATGCAGGAATTATAGAAAGCCAACAAAAAGACAAATTCAGGTATTCATAGCAGCAGCATTTAAAAGTACATTATAATATTTTTTGTGTAATATCTAAGTGGGTAAATGGTGAATGTTCATCAGTATGGAGTGCAGCTTTTAAATAAGTTTTGCATTTCCTCTAACTACTAACCAACAACCATAGCACGACTTACATGAAAACGAAAATGAGATACATCAGAGGGAACCGCCACATTATAGTGACCAACTGCTTTGTAGACATTCTTATTGTGTTTTACCAGCACTCCCTGGGGCCACATACATTCCTCCATCCACCTGCCAAACAAAACTTACTGAATTAGTCTTAAAGAAGTCATCTGTTTCCTTTACAACAAAAAAAATGCAGATTTCTTAGTCCATTGATATCAGGACCCTACGTAATCCACTTGCAAAACGTGGTCATCTGCTTGGAGTTATCCCCATATAAGTCTATAAGGTATTATCTGACAAATGAAGAGATGAATATGATGACAGTCTCAAAGCTGAGAGGTGGGGGGGGGGGGCAATCTAGGCTAGACGCTAGATTGCACAATGTAGACAAAACATTCCAGGTGCTGCTGTAAAATCCCCTTAGGAATAGAGGCATAGCAAGTACATCCAAAAATAAGAAAAACAGTGCACTAGTAATTGGCACAGAATACACACACAGTTAGGTCCATTAATATTTGGAAACAGGCACAATTTTAGTTTGTCAGGTATTTACCAAAATGTATTCAAACTATAGTTGAATGGATATGGGCTGAAAGTGCACACTCAGGTTTAATTTGAGGGTGTGTACATCCACATTGGAGGAAGGGTTTAGGAATTACAGCTCTTAAAAGTAGCCATCCCCACCTTTTTCAAGGGACCAAAAGTAATTGGACAATTGAATCAAAAGCTGTTTCACGGCCAGGTGTGGGCTACTCCTTCGTTATTTCTTCATAAATTAAGCAGGTAAAGGAGGTAAAGGGTCTGGAGTTGATTCTAAGTGTGGTATTTGCATTTGGAATCTCCTGTGAACCTACATCATGCGTTCAAAGAAACTATCCATGCAAGTGAACAAGACCATTGTAAGGCTTCAAAAACTAAACAAATGCATCAGAGAGATAGCAGCAACATTAGGAGTGGCCAAATCAACAGTTTGGTACATTCTGAGGAAAGAACACCACACTGGTGAGCTCAGCAACATAAGGCATGGACGTCCACGGAAGACAACAGTGGTGGATGATTGCAGGAACCTCTCTATGGTAAAGAAAAACCCATTCGCAACATCCAGACAAGTGAAGGACTCTCTCCAGGAGGTGGGTGTATCATTGACAAAGTCTACAATCAAGAGAAGACTTCATGAGAGCAAATAGAGGGTTCACCATATGGTGCAAACCATTCATAATCCTGAAGAAAAGAAAAGCCAGATTAGACTTGGTGAGAAAAAAAAAAACATCTAAAAAAGCCAGACCAGTTCTAGAAAAGCCTTCTTTGGACGGATGAAACTAAGTTTAATCTGTACCAGAATGAAGGGAAGAAGAAAGTGTGGAGAAGGCTTGGAACAGATCATGAGCCAAAGCACACGACATCTGTAAAACATGGTTGAGGCAGTGTGATGGCATGGGAATGCATGGCTTCCAGTGGCACTGGTTCACTGGTGTTTATTGATGATGTGAAGGAAGACAGAAGCAGCCGGATGAATGCTGCAGTGTTTAGAGATATACTGTCAGCCCAGATTCAGCCAAATGCAGCAAAGTCGATTGGATGGCGCTTCACAGTACAGATGGACAATGATCCAAAACACACTGCAAAAGCAACCCAGGAGCTTTTGAAGGAAAATAAGTGGAATATTCCGCAATGGCTGAGTCAATCACCTGATCTCAACCCAATTGAGAATGCATTTCACTTGCCGAAGGCAACACTAAAGGCAGAAAGACACACAAAGAACTGAGGACAGCTGCAGTTAGAGCCTGGAAAAGCATCAGAAAGGAGGAAACCCAGTCTTAATGTCCATGGGTTCCAGACTTCAGGCAGTAATTGACAGTAAAGGATTCTCCACAAAATATTAAAAATTAACATTTCATTTATTCATTTGTGCAATTAAGTTTGAGCCCCTGAAATTGGAGGGACTGTGTATAAAAATGTTTGCAGTTCCTAAAACTTATACTTGATATTTATGTTCAACCCCTTGTATTAAAGCTGAAAGTCTGCACTTCAAATTCATTTGGATGGTTTCATCTTAATTTATTCTGGTGGCATACAGAACCAAAAGTATGAACATTGTGCCTGTGTCCAAATATATATATGGACCCAACTGTATGTATGACACACACACACATATATATATATACACACACACACACACACACACACACACACACACACACACACATATATATATACATACATACACACACACACAGTCAGGTCCATAAATATTGGGACATCGACAATTCTAACATTTTTGGCTCTATACACCACCACAATGGATTTGAAATGAAACAAACAAGATGTGCTTTAACTGCAGACTGTCAGCTTTAATTTGAGGGTATTTACATCCAAATCAGGTGAACGGTGTAGGAATTACAACAGTTTGCATATGTGCCTCCCACTTGAGACCAAAAGTAATAGGACAGAATAATCATAAATCAAACTTTCACTTTTTAATACTTGGTTGCAAATCCTTTGCAGTCAATTACAGCCTGAAGTCTGGAATGCATAGACATCACCAGACGCTGGGTTCCATACCTGGTGATGCTCTGCCAGGCCTCTACTGCAACTGTCTTCAGTTCCTGCTTGTTCTTGGGGCATTTTCCCTTCTGTTTTGTCTTCAGCAAGTGAAATGCATGCTCAATCAGATTCAGGTCAGGTGATTGACTTGGCCATTGCATAACATTCTACTTCTTTCCCTTAAAAAGCTCTTTTGTTGCTTTTGCAGTATGCTTTGGGTCATTGTCCATCTGCACTGTGAAGCGGCGTCCAATGATTTCTGAAGCATTTGGCTGAATATGAGCAGATAATATTGCCCGAAACACTTCAGAATTCATCCTGCTGCTTTTGTCAGCAGTCACATCATCAAATACAAGAGAACCAGTTCCATTGGCAGCCATACATGCCCACGCCATGACATTACCACCACCATGCTACACTGATGAGGTGGTATGCTTAGGACCATGAGCAGTTCCTTTCCTTCTCCATACTCTTCTCTTCCCATCACTATGGTACAAGTTGATCTTGGTCTCATCTGTCCATAGGATGTTGTTCCAGAACTGTGAAGGCTTTTTTAGATGTCGTTTGGCAAACTCTAATCTGGCCTTCCTGTTTTTGAGGCTCACCAATGGTTTACATCTTGTGGTGAACCCTCTGTATTTCACTCTGGTGAAGTATTCTCTTGATTGTTGACTTTGACACACAAACACCTACCTCCTGGAGAGTGTTCTTGATCTGGCCAACTGTTGTGAAGGGTGTTTTCTTCACCAGGGAAAGAATTCTTCGATCATCCACCACAGTTGTGTTCCGTGGTCTTCCGGGTCTTTTGGTGTTGCTGAGCTCACCGGTGCGTTCCTTCTTTTTAAGGAAGTTCCAAACAGTTGTTTTGGCCACGCCTAATGTTTTTGCTATCTCTCAGATGGGTTTGTTTTGTTTTTTCAGCCTAATGATGGCTTGCTTCACTGATCGTGACAGCTCTTTGGATCTCACCTTGAGAGTTGACAGCAACAGATTTCAAATGCAAATAGCACACTTGAAATGAACTCTGGACCCTTTATCTGCTCATTGTAATTGGGATAATGAGGGAATAACACACCTGGCCATGGAACAGCTGAGAAGCCAATTGTCCCATTACTTTTGGTCCCTTAACAAGTGGGAGGCACATTTGCAAACTGTTGTAATTCCTACACCGTTCACCTGATTTGGATGTAAATACCCTCAAATTAAAGCTGACAGTCTGCAGTTAAAGCACATCTTGTTTGTTTCATTTCAAATCCATTGTGGTGGTGTATAGAGCCAAAAATGTTAGAATTGTGTCGATGTCCCAATATTTATGGACCTGACTGCATATCCATCCATAAATCCAAAGGAATGTTTAGTACATCAGTTAAAAATTAGATTTTTATAAAACTTTGTAAAGCATGTAAATGTCTCATGTCATCAGATAGCCACCATAATGAACAGACTCATTGCTCATCTAGAATGAACCAGCTAGATCTCACCACAGCCACGGTATATCTCCTGATAGAATGTGGAGATAGATGGTGTAACTATACGTGTTACAAGCCAGTGAACATGGGTGTAGAGACCACCAGACCATCCGGACAAGGAGCCTTGGTATCCAGTGACATCACTCCACACAAGTGCCGGTCAAACAACCACCAAGAAGATGGCCGCTCGCCAAACCGGCAACACTCCAGACTGGAAATGATGTGACCACCAAGCCAGATGTGACATATGCAATACCCTGATCCCAGGGATGGTAATTAGAGAGACCCAAGAGTCTACGGATGATGGAAAAACGTGTTTCAAAGCAAATGCCTTGATTGGGGGACTATAATCACACAGTTAACCTGTATTAACTCAACCCACTTATCTGATCCCCCATTTTGGGGAAAAAGTGGATTTTATTTTTGTGACCAAAAACTAGCAAAGTTGGGGCAAGTCCAATAATCATGTAATAAATATTACAATTAAAACACTATCTTTTTTTCTAGATCACTTACTGAATTACAGATATGTAGATCTATGAAAATAAGTGTTTACTTACGAATGCTGTAGCATATTGGAACAGAGTGCTGGATCTACCTTTTGCCAACAGCCAAGGTGAGCTGCTGCCTTGTGAAGTAAATCACAGTACCTAGCAGGCAAAAGGTGCTGAGTAAGGATTACAGAGGTGCTGAGGGAGACTTGGAGGAAGAGTTCACAAGACCATCGTTTGTCATAATACTGAGTATTCTGAAAAGAAAGAAAAAAAAAATGATTTAGCAGTAGTTGTAAACCATCATAAAACATTACAAAAGGTCAAAAGGCAGGAAGAAAAAGACACAAATTACCCTTTTCTAGGAATCCTCCAGGATGGCCACATGAGAGATAGGCTCCTCCTCCTACAGGAAACACAAGCACAGAGAGAAGTTAAAAGCTCTCCACCCACTACTGGCCTGCAGTATTACCAAAAGATGAACCAAAAGGCAAGCGGACCCACCCATACCCAAAATAAGAACCTTAGGGCGGGAAACTTACCGTCCTAGAGGATTCCTGGAAAAGGAGTTATTAGGTAATAACTCGTGTCTCTCCCAAGTCATCCTCCAGGACGGTCACATGAGAGACTACAGAGATGTATATTTTGGGAGGGTACAAAGCCATTTAAGAAAAAAATAAATAAAAAAAAAAAGCTTTAAAAACAGCAAAGTCCAAAAAAGACAGAAGGTCCATACTACCAAGTCATAAGTGTCACAGCTAATCCAAAAGGTGGCTCAGTGACCAGTTCAAAAGAGTGGCAACAGTCCTTCACAACTTCAACCCTTCTCTTTTCTACTCTGCAAATGACCACCTCTGACAGAATCTCTCCCCTGTCCTGCCCTGACCTGGCCACTGCTGTCTACAACAGTTCACTTTCATCCACACTAGACTCACTTGCTCCTCTAACTACACGAAGTATCAGGCCCCGACCATTGCAACCTTGGCAGACAACACCAGACAGCTTGAGACAGTCATTGACTGGAGCGATTGTGGCATAAACCCAAATCCCAGCAAGCATTAATTCTATATAAATCTGATTTCTTAAAATAAAATTCCTCCCTCCATGCTGCCAAACAAGCCTACTTTGTCACTCTATTAATACCTTGTCATTCAGTCCTCGTCATCTCTTCTCTGCTTTTAACCCTCTACTTTCTCCGCCTCCACCTCAACCTTGTAACCCATTGCTTACGGGTTTGCCAATCATTTCAAAAACAAGATTGATGCAATGCTTAAGGGCATCTCCACTACACATACATCTATCCCACTTAGCATACCTTATACTAAACCTCCCTCAACACTTTCCTCTTTTGACCCTACTACTACTAAAGTAGTCAGAAGACCGTCTCATCACCTTCTCCCTGGATCCTGTTCCCTCACAACTACTATGGTCACCCTCTTCTTCTATCCTTTGCTCCCTCACGCACATCTTCAATCTCTCCCTCTCTACTGGCACCGTCCCCTCCCCTCTAAAGCATGCACTGATCACTCCCATACTTAACCGCTTCCATACAGGGCACTTTTACCCCCTTCCTGCCCAGGCCAATCTTCAGTGTTTTAGTGCTCTCACACTTTGAATGACAATTGCGCGCAGTCATACAACACTGTACCCAAACTAAAATCGTATTTTCTTCACACAACTAGAGCTTTCATTTGGTGGTATTAAATCACCACTGGGGTTTTTATTTTTTGCTAAATTAACAAAAAAAACCAAAAATTTTGAAGAAAAAAAAAAAAAAAAAAACCTTTTTTCTTTGTTTGTTTGCAAATAAATAATTGTTCATACATTTAGGCCAAGATGTGTTCTACTACATGTCTTTGGTGAAAATAACCCAAATTAGGATGTATTATTTAGTCTGTAGGGAAGTTATAGAGTTCACAAACTATGGTTCATATCTGAAAATTGATCAATCATTAAGTACTGACAGCCAATCTAATTTCTTGAGGTCCAGGAATGTCAGAACAGTACAGATATCCCCCAAAATGACCATTTTTTTTGCAAAGTAGACAGTCCAATGCATTTCATAAGAGGCATGGCGAGTTTTTTGAAGTTGTAATTTTTTTTTGTCATATTTCGGAAAATTAGAAAATTTTCACTTTTTTTTTTACATACTGTCACCAGTGCAGTACAGCGTCATCATATAACTGGCATGGCGGTGATCAGGGACACTGACTGGTGACAGTACAAAAAAAAAAAATTATAATTTTTATTTTGTTTTAATTTATTAATTTTTTTTTTATATTTCACTATGACCAAAGTAGTATAATGTTACCATAGTATCAAGTGATCAGTATTTTTTTTTTTTTTTTTTTTTTTAAACAATTTGCTTATAGCAAAGAATCACTGCTATAAGCAAGCATTTACCTGAATGACACTGATTCATTCAGGGTTTTTTTTTTTGTGCTTAGCTGTGAATTGGCCCAGCTTGTGCATGTGATCACTGTGACCAGTCACAGCTAGACACACTTGGATACAATGGATGGCATGAAAGGAAGCCATCCATTGTATACAACTGTCATGTGACCTGCTGTGATTGGTCACAGCAGGTCACATGGTACTGGCAACGGTGCGGTACACAGATCTGTCATCGGCTGTGTCTGAGGTACACGGCCGGTGACAGATCACGCCGCAGAACTGCCCTGCGGGCAGGCGCACTGCGCATGACTGACAGGACGCCATATGGTGTCCACCCGGAGGGACGAGGCGTTTTGCCGGCCGCCTTTGTTTTACTTGCCAGACGGGAACCGGTTAAAAAGCCCTCGCTGGACCCCTCCACCCTGAATGATGCAAGACCCATCTCCCTGCTCTGATTTACCTCTAAACTCTTAGAACGCCTAGTCTACAATTTCCTGAGCTCCTACCTCACTGACAACAACCTTCTTGACCCTTTACAGTCTGGCTTTTGCTCACTACACTCCACTGAAACTGCCCTACTAAAACTCACTAAATGATTTAACCACTTACCGTCCACAGATAGCCGAAAGACAACTTCAACGCACCCTACCGCGCGCCCCCGGCGATCTCCGTGATCGCTGTGTCCTACGGACACAGCTGATCACGTGACGTGGTAAAAGGCCAAACACAGTGGCCTTTTACCATGTGATCAGCCGTGTCCAATGACACAGCAGATCACTGGTAAATGCAGTTGCCGGTTATTGGCTTTACTTTCTTCACGCTGTCACAGCTTGAGGAAAGTACTGCCGATAACCGGCAATTGTCAATGGACGAATCGGCACCAATCATCAGGGCACTGCCACCCATCATTGTTGCACATCAGCGCCACCTATCAGTGCAGCCTCATCAATGCACATCAGTGAAGGAGAAAAATTACCAGCTTGCAAAAAATTTTATAATTAAAACAAACAAAAAAAAAAAAACTAATTTTTTGCTCTTTTTTTTGTTTATAGCGCAAAAAATAAAAACACCCAGTGGAGAGTACATACCACAAAAAAAAAAAAAAAAAAAAAAAAAAAAAAAAGCTTTTTGTGTGAAAAAAATTATAAAAATTTCATATAGGTAGTGTTGCATGACTGCGCAATTGTCACTGAAAGTGCAACAGCACTGAAAGCTGAAAATTGGCCTGGGCACGAAAGGGGTACAAGTGCCTGGTAGGCAAGTGGTTAACTGCTAAAACAAATTGCCACTACTCCACACTCTTACTACTCAACCTGTCTGCAGCTTTTGATACGGTTGACCATCCCCTCATCCTCAAAAAACGCTTTCCCTCCAAGACTCTGCTCTATCCTACCTAACGCAGCGCTCCTTCAGTGTTTCCTATAACTCTGTCTCCTCTCGCCACTATATATTTTTCTGTAGGGGTCCCTCAAGGTTCTATCCTTGGACCCCTTCTCTTCTCCATCTACACCTCCTTCCTTGATCACTTGATAAACTCCCACGGCTTCAAGTACAATCTCTATGCTGATAACACACAAACTAATCTTTTTACTCCTCACCTCACCCCTTCAGTCTCCTTGCGCATTACTAACCTACTAAGTGACATACCAGCATGGATGTCACTCCACTTCCTCAAATTAAATCTTTCTAAAACTGAGCTCATATTATTCCCTCCTGCCCATGCCCCCTTCCCTGACTTCTCCATCAAGATCAATAATACAACCATCAGTCCCCCCCCTCATGCCAGGGTACTAGGTGCAATCCTGGAATCACATCTGTCATTTCAGCCCCAAATCCAATCACTGTCCAAATCTTGTAGGCTTCATCTCCACAACATCTCCAAGATATGCCATTTTTAACCACTAAGCAACTTATTCCCTCCCTTGTGATTTCTCACCTTGACTATTGTAACTCCCTCCTCATTGGCCCACCTAATCGCAGGCTATCCCCTTCTTCAGTCTATCATGAATGTTGCTGCCAGACTCATCCACCTTACCAGCCGTTCCATATCTGCCAATCCCTCCACTGGCTTCCCATTGCCCAACGAATACGATGCAAAACATTAACATATAAAGCCATTCATAACTTTGCCCCAATTTACAACACCAACCTTGTCTCCAAATACCATCAAAACCATCCTCTCCACTCCTCCCACGACTTCCTGTTCTCTAGCTCCCTTGTCTCCTCCCATGCTCGTCTCCAGGACTTTTCCAGAGCCTCCCCCTTCCTCTGGAACGCTCTACACCAATCTATCCACTATCACCTACTCTGCCCACTTTAAGGCGATCTCTGAAAATCTCTTTTCAGAGAATCCTATCCTATAACTGAATCTTCTGTTTCTCCTATCAGTTCATCCCCCACAGTTATCTTTTTTTACCACCAGCCCCTCACTCTTAGGATTGTAGGCTCCAATGACCAGGGCCCTCCTAACCCTCTTGTATTGAACTGTATTGTTGTTTTGTCTCCCTTTATATTGTAAAGCTCTGAGTAAACTGTTGGCGCTATATAAATTCTGTATAATAAATGGTAGATCACTGGAACCATGTCCAATAACTTTTCCAGTTACAGGACCAGGAAATGCAATTGGTGTGCCTGAATGTGAAAGATATGATTGTGTGCTGTCTGAAGCTTTAGCAACCAGAACCCATGAGCAAAAACCATAGTCACAAGGTAAAAAAGGTCCTGATAAAATCCCAACAACCAGGAAGTTTTATCCCTAATCTATATACTCCCATTTTAGCCATGTACATTTATGCATAAAGACAACCATATTACAAAAAAGACATAAAAAATAGTGTAAAGGTATTCAAGAAAAAACCTCCCC